AGAGAGAGAGAGAGAGAGAGAGAGAGAGAGAGAGAGAGAGAGAGAGAGAGAGAGACCCTGACCCATTTAACAATGACCTACTTCCAGGGATGCGCACAGGGACGTAGGCGTCACTCGTACTCCAGTAAACGTTATCCTGGAGTAAATTTGACCTACATCGCGTCACTCGCAATGTCGTACGCTTTAATACCGACGGGAGCGTCCCGTTTCCGGCGATTCGAAATCGCGCCTATGAAATATTATCACGGATGTCCCCATAAACGGGGTAAATCGCCCCGAAACCGGAATCGTAGAATTTAAAAATCATAGAATTTAAAATTTAAATTCACCGCGGTAAAGAAAAATTGTTTTTTTTTCCCCAGAAAAACTGAATACTGAATTTTACATGTAGTTTGCGTGTGTGCAGTAAAATAACGTTACGTGGCAAAATGTCTGTTATTTGCTACCAAAAATTGTTTCATCACACTTAGATTAAATGATATATAAATATTTGTATTAAAATTAAATTTATACTAACCAGCAATTTACATTAATATGGCGAAATAACGTTAATGATAAATAGAAAATAATCCACGTGAGTAGTCTCTCTTCTTTATTTGAGGAAAGAAGAAATAAAACCCCAGGCTCTATGTTGAGATTTCGCGAATTATAAATTATACCCCAGACTTTTCGTTTTTAAATCGGTTCTATTCGAAACGGTTTTTCTACCTATTTCAATAACGTGGATGACGTAAAAATATAATTGGAGGAGCGTCATCGGCGAGATTGAGACTCCGAAGAAGCGATATTTATAACCGATTCATAACTCTTGCAACGAGCGGAACTTAAAACTCGATCAGAGCTTGAATAAGATCTTAAATTTCAACGCCGCCGCGCCGGTGCAGTCGCGACGCGTATCGCAAAACTCTTGACACACATTCGGCGCGGACTCGCGTCGCTCTTTCGGCTTTAAAAGCACCTTTAAAGTAAGGTACCCCGTGTCACGGATTCGCTAAGGGTGTCGAGCTAAATAAGGATTAATTGCGCCACTCAACTGGCACATTCGTGCTTGAACGAGACCTTTGCACTCGAATTAAAGCAACATCCAGATTGACCGGCGCGGGCATCGGATTTCACAAACGTGTTCGCTTGCGAGTGATATCGAGTCGCGATTAGAATTGTACGTTCGCACAGAAAGGATTTCTATTACCGAGACAAAAAATATTCTTGACGCATTTATATTTCTCACAACCTCATTTAGTGTAAAAATAAGACAATATCAAAATTAAATCAATAATTCTTAGTCTCCTCTATCGAATTAAAAAAGGGCTTACTTTTGAGACAAGAGTAACTTATATTAATGTAAGTTTATATAGTCTTGTGTTTAAAATAAATTTTCCCTCCATCTTATACAACGACAAAAGACGACACATACTATAATTTTATTCTACATTGTAGAATTTTTTCTTGAAGATTAAAATATCCCTTTCTCTATAATAAATATAATTGACGTTATATCAATCCTATTTTATGATACATTCAAGTGTAATTGGATCCGGATTTTTTTTCTGTGGGTGCAGGCCGTATCTTCGAGATAAAAGGAAACGAGTCGGAAAATCTGACCTTTAAAGAGAGACGGGACATTTCGGTATTCGTTATTATATCAGAATATTATCAATTGCAATTGCGTTAAATGTCAAGTGCTAAAGATTAACTACACTTGTACAGCGAAATTAGTTATTTCGCGTCAATCTCTCGTATCATTTTTGATATAATTGGTTAAACCGTATCGTCTGTGGAAGCACTCGACTAGATTACATCTGATTCGTACATCTGTCATAAATACTATGTTATTTTATAACATATAACGGTTTATATTTCAGCACAATATATTTATACATTAATGTTACGATAGCACTTGTAACTTTAATTACAAATAATATTAACCATGAAGACGACAATTAAAAAAATTATGTTTAAGGAGACCAAGAAAGATCATCAGACTCCAATAATAAAATAAAAACCGCACAAAGAAATAGGCAATAGGAGTCAACACAAGACATTGTGTGTGAAATATATAAAATTTAATATAATACATCGAAATATATATAAATTATACTCGCGGCGACGAGAGATTCAATGCGACGATACGAGCTGGTATCCGAATACGAGCATCGTTTAAAGAAACAATTGTCGTCCGTAAGTAATTTCAAGTTAGTAAGTGTTTAGATTTTTGGACGTTGTACGATTTCATGTGTGAATCGCGCGAGATATCCGTCTTGCCGATTAACCGAGCATCGATAGCAAATCGCGAGGATTCAGCGGACACGCGACGATAGCGATTACTGATTATTCACAGAGAGCGATCGCGATTTTTTCCCGTACTTGTCGCGAACGCGTACCAAGAACAATACGGCGCGGACCGGTCCGTTCGACTGTCGCCGCGTGAATAATAGGCACAGTGAGAATAATAGACTGTTTTCGACCGAAGTGATTGATAAACCTTAATAATCGACGGAATTTTAAACAGACTCCTATTACCTGTTTCACTTATACTAATTCAAACGTCGTTAAAACACGTGAAATTATTTTGAAATGTGAAAGAAAATGTTGAATTTTATTATGGTTCCTTTCTCGCGATATTATTTTGGGGGAATATTTGTAAGTAGAAGAAATTAAAGAGAATTAGATAGAGTGCAGTAAACGTGCACCTGGAAAAACCTCGTTGAAAAATATTCCTAATTTACACTTTTCGCTAAATTATTTAATCTAATTATGGCGCTAGATTCAACATTCATTGTACATTTGTCATCCAGCAGGATCACACTTCGTGTGATCGAAACGTCTGGCGTAATAATTTATTATATTTCGATGCATTAAATTTTATATATTTCACACATAACGTCTTGCGTCGACTCCCTATTGCCTATTCCTTTGCTCGTTTAAGGAAACATTTTTCCAAATAATCTACTCGCTTAACAGCGATCTAATATATTCTATTAAATTATATAAACA